CTCTTATATTTTGGTCTATAATCCAGTTTGAGTTAATTTGACATATTGTGTGAGGTAGCTGTCTACTTTCTTTGTTGTTGTTTTTTTCATACGGATATCCAGTTGTCCTAGCATCACTTGGTGAGATGACTATTTTTTCCTCATTGAATTGCCTTGGCACCTTTGTCAAAAATCAGTTAACTGTAAATAAAAGGGCTTCTTTTTGACTCACTATTATGTTCCATTGATATATATGTCTGTCTTTATGCCAATATCACACACTGTTGATATACTGTGACTCTATAGTAAATTCTGAAGTCAGGTAATGTAAATCTTCTAAGTTTGTTAGTTTTTTTGGTTTTTTGGGTTATTTTGGCCATTCAGGGTCCTGTGCATTTTTGTATAAATTTAGGTTTATCTCATCAATTTTTACCCCCCAAAAAAAGCCTATTGGGATTTTTATAAGGACTGGATTTAATCTGTATATGAATTTATGGAGAAGTGACATCTTGTTGAGTTTTCCACCTCATTAACATAGCATTTTTCTCCTTTTATTTAGATCTTTAATTTCTGTCAGTGATGTTTCATAGTTTTCAGTGTACAGATCTTGCACTTCACTTGTTAAATTTATTCATAAGTATTTTATTCTTTCTTATGTTATTGTGAGTGAAATTGTTTTCTTAATTTTGTTTTCAAGTTGTTTGTTGTCAGTATATAGCAATACAATTTATTATTGTAAATTGACCTTGTATCTTATTGCATTGCAAAATTGATCATTAGTTCTAGTATTTTTTTTTGTAGCTTCATTTAGATTTTCCAAATTATGACAGTTTTACTTTTTATATCCGATCTATATACCTTTAATTTCTTTTTCTTGCCTTATCGCACTATCAAGAACTTCCAAAATAGTGTTAAATAGAAATGGTGAAAGCAAACATTTTTTCCCATTCCTACAGGTAAAGCATTCAGTCTTTCACCATTAAGCATGATGTTAATTGTAGATTTTTCACAGATGCCCTTGAGGAAGTGCCTTTCTATTCCTAGTTTATTGAGATTTTTATCATTAATGAATGTTGGGTTTTGTCTCTGTCAAATGCCTTTTCTCTGTATACTGAGTGATCATATAGTTTTATTGTTTATTCTATTAATGTGGTATTTTACATTATTGACTTACAGATATTAAACCAGCCTTGTATTTCTGAGGTAAATCCCATGTAGTCATGGTATATAATCCTTTTTATATGTTTCTGGATTTGGTTTGCTAATTATTTTGTTGAGGATTCTTGTGTCTATATTCCTGAGAATAGCAATCTGTGATCTTGTGATTTCTTCATGTCAGGGTCATACTGGCCTCATAGAATGAATTGAGAAATGTTTCCTACTCTTCTATTTTTTGGAAAAATTTGTGAAGTATTGTTATTAATTCTTCATTGAATGTTTGGTAGAATTTACCTGTGAAGCTGTCTGATCCTGGGCTTTTCTTTGTGAGTAGATTTTTAATTACCAATTCATTTTCTTTACTTGTTATGGGTATAGTCACATTTTTTATTTCTTCTTGAGTCCATTTTGGTATTTTGTATCTTTCTAGACATTTGTCCAACCAAGTTGACTAATTTGGTTACATAAAGTTGTATGTAATATTCTCTTTTAATTTTTAAAATTTCTGTAGGGATGTTCTAATTTTCGTAGCCTTTATTTCTCTCTTTTTCTTGCTCAGTCTATGTAAAGGTTTTCAAGATACTCTCTTTGTCTTTGGTGTTCAGTGGTTTGGCTATGATGGATCAAGATATGTTCTACTTGGAATTCATTGAGCTTTTTAAATCTGTGATGTTTTTCATTAAATATGGAAAGTTTGGGCAATATTTCTTTAAATACTTTTTCTGCCCCTTTCTCTCCTTTTCTTGCTGGGAATCTTATTACTTATATGTTGGTACTATTGGTTTTGTCTCATGGTCTCTGAGGCTCTGTTTTTCTGCAGTTTGGTTGATATGACTGAGAGATCTAAATATTAGTTTAAGGAGTCAGTCATTATTGAACTTGTTGGGAAAAAAGGAAAAGCTTAGATCAATAGATCGAATCAACTACCTTAGAGGAAAATAAGAAAGTAGCACATAGAACTAAAACTTTATCATTAAGCTTTTCATCATATTCACAATTTCTCTCAGTAACCATAGTGTTTGTCAAGTATATTAAATTCATAAATCTCTAAAGTTCTATACCAATAACTTTCTAAAGCATATTCCTAATTTCTCATGTTCTCTTTCCAGCGACCTGTTACTAGGTTAAAGAAAGGCAAATGTATGCATGCTTATATCTAAATCTCTTTTAGATAATAATACTTAGGTTAAAAATACAGCATAGTTAATAAGGTTTTGCAACATAACCTGGGATGGATTTTCCATGTATTACTTGAGTGTGTATGCTTGAGTTTTCTTCCTTTAACAAGAGAGGGAATAGAATCTACTAAAAAAAAAAAAAAACATTGTAAAATAGTATGTTAGTAATCATTTACTCAGGTAAACACTCTTCCCTATTGTATATTTTTGTGGTAGCAAGTGAGAGTAGATAATTTCTTTCCCCATTGAGATAATCTGTGGATGGAAAAGATAATATCAATGAAGTAGAAAAAAAGTAAACTCATTTGAAATATGAGAAATTTTACAAGTGGCCAGCTCTTTCACTTGGCATTTTATTAATACCAAGATGTGGTTAGAGTGGTTCTGTCTTTGGAACCTGACTTTCTGGGTTCTAATTCCATTCTGCTTCAGTGTGTCTCATCTGTACCATTGCATAAAAGTTACACCTACTGCACAGAACAATGTTCTTTAAGTGTTATCTACCATTATTATTATTTTATTATTATTATTATTAGATTACATTTGTAAATATATTATTATTATACATAATATATAATATGTTATATAATCGTATATAATATAGATTGTATTAACAAATATAATCTAATAATATCATCCTGTTAAATAATGTAAAGTGGGATTTTTGAGACTAACTAGAATTTTTATATTTTTAATTCCTAGACTGATTTTCTTAATTATGTTGGCCTTATTCACCATTTGACATGTAATCTAGTCACCCAAAACTTCAGGAATGGGCAAAGCAAGACAAAAATTAAGCCCAGTATTTCCATTGAAATCACTATGGATATGAAAGCATTCGTGAAGAATTAGAGAAATCTACCTCCTTTTTTATGCTTTATCATTATTTTCTTTAAGGGCTCAGAATTTAAGGATCTATTATTCCTTTATACAAATAAATGCAAATAGCAATAAGTGATGATGCCCTAAAAGGATGTTATTGTTTAGTAAAAGGCAAAAGATTTATACGATCTGAAGAGAAACCAGAGTGTAAGGATGTTATTGTTTAAAGCTGCTTTGTTCCGCAGTCTCCATTCTCTCTTTCTTCTCTCCACCAGGTGGAAGTAAAGCACTTTGTACCAAGTCTCATTACACAGCACCTCCTAGTCATTGTGGTATTCACATGGGTTAGGAGGGAAAAGATAAACACCTTACTCAAGAATATGAAATGTTCCTTCAGCTGGGTTTTACAGCATCATATTTTAATCATTTAGCTGAGGATAATAAAAACAATAGATTGGATAAGGTTCCTTTCCACAAATCTTTTAATTCAACTGAGGTAAACACAGACCCATTATCAGAAATAATATATGAAATCTTTGTAATAGCTGGAAGAACCGCATAGGGCAAAAGTAAACTATCAAAATAACATCCAGATATTTTAAAGTGCATTTAAAATTAATCGATGGAAATAAACCTTTGACATCCTGGGCACATTGGTTTTATGTAAACTGTGAGAATTGTCCTTTATAACTTGATTAAGGTGAGTCAATCTTATTTTCCAGGTGCAACATTATACTGCAAGTCAATCAATACAATAATTTGTCATTTTAACTATAATGGAAAAGTATGAAAAATTAGCTAAGATTGGAGAAGGGTCTTATGGGGTTGTATTCAAATGCAGAAACAAAACCTCTGGACAAATAGTAGCTATTAAAAAATTTGTGGAATCTGAAGATGATCCTGTTGTCAAGAGAATAGCACTAAGAGAAATACGTATGTTGAAGGTATGTTAACTGTATATATGTATATCTAAAATATCATGGTATTGGGTGAAATATGCATGCTAAAATTACAAAAAAAGAAAATGTAATTTCCCCCCATTGGACTTAGATTCCTTTGTATCAGCAGCTTTGGGAAATAAGCTGATCATCACTTTGGACTTTGGCTGCTCTGATGTTTATCTGATATGTGTGAATACTTCATATTGAAGCACTTCCATTCTGGTTGGTAAATATCCACACGCCCAGTGTTTACATGCCCTCTCCCCTCCCTCACCCTCCCCTGGACAGCCCTCCCCAATTTTCCCCCTACCAACCAGCAACTAAAAGAGCACCTTCTGGCACACAGGGTTCCATAGGACTGTACCAGTGCCATGGTAGGTGTCAACATTGATTGGTCCCTGCCTGCACTGCACTGGTGCTCAGACATATTGAGTTGCCCCAGCGATGTATACATTTTTTTCATAAAGGTTTTTGTGGGCCGGCCTGGTGGCGCACTGCGCTAGTGCGCCGCTTGGGAAGCACGGCGGTGCTCCCGTCGAGGGTTCGGATCCCACATACAGACTGGTTCCTGCTCACTGGCTGAGCGAGGCGCGGGAGCAACACCGAGGGTTGCGATCCCGTTGCCGGTCCTGGTCCGGTACGGGCGTGACACTGAGGGTTGCGATCCGTTGCCGGACACGGAAAAAGACAAAAAGGAAAAAAAAAAAAGGTTTTTGTTATCATTATTTTTAATCACCAGATATTTTAAAGTGCATTTAAAATTAATCGATGGAAATAAACCTTTGACATCCTGGGCACATTGGTTTTATGTAAACTGTGAGAATTGTCCTTTATAACTTGATTAAGGTGAGTCAATCTTATTTTCCAGGTGCAACATTATACTGCAAGTCAATCAATACAATAATTTGTCATTTTAACTATAATGGAAAAGTATGAAAAATTAGCTAAGATTGGAGAAGGGTCTTATGGGGTTGTATTCAAATGCAGAAACAAAACCTCTGGACAAATAGTAGCTATTAAAAAATTTGTGGAATCTGAAGATGATCCTGTTGTCAAGAGAATAGCACTAAGAGAAATACGTATGTTGAAGGTATGTTAACTGTATATATGTATATCTAAAATATCATGGTATTGGGTGAAATATGCATGCTAAAATTACAAAAAAAGAAAATGTAATTTCCCCCCATTGGACTTAGATTCCTTTGTATCAGCAGCTTTGGGAAATAAGCTGATCATCACTTTGGACTTTGGCTGCTCTGATGTTTATCTGATATGTGTGAATACTTCATATTGAAGCACTTCCATTCTGGTTGGTAAATATCCACACGCCCAGTGTTTACATGCCCTCTCCCCTCCCTCACCCTCCCCTGGACAGCCCTCCCCAATTTTCCCCCTACCAACCAGCAACTAAAAGAGCACCTTCTGGCACACAGGGTTCCATAGGACTGTACCAGTGCCATGGTAGGTGTCAACATTGATTGGTCCCTGCCTGCACTGCACTGGTGCTCAGACATATTGAGTTGCCCCAGCGATGTATACATTTTTTTCATAAAGGTTTTTGTGGGCCGGCCTGGTGGCGCACTGCGCTAGTGCGCCGCTTGGGAAGCACAGCGGTGCTCCCGTCGAGGGTTCGGATCCCACATACAGACTGGTTCCTGCTCACTGGCTGAGCGAGGCGCGGGAGCAACACCGAGGGTTGCGATCCCGTTGCCGGTCCTGGTCCGGTACGGGCGTGACACTGAGGGTTGCGATCCGTTGCCGGACACGGAAAAAGACAAAAAGGAAAAAAAAAAAAGGTTTTTGTTATCATTATTTTTAATCTGATAGGATTTGACACGTGAGATTCTTAAGTTCTCACTGTAAATTTTTTCTTATCCTAAAGATCTTACACTTTCAGAACTATAAGGGATCTTAGAGATGCTTCTCATGCAGCATCCTTATTTTCTTGCAGAAGAAACTGAGGCCTAGGGCAGTACTTCTCAAAATTAATGTGCATAGGGATCCTCTGGGGATCTTGTTAAAATGCAGATTCTGAGTTGAGAAGTCTGTGGTGGGCCTGAGATTCTGCATTTCTAACAAGCTTCCAGATAGCACAAAAGCTGCTGGTTCGTGGGGCACACATTAAACAAGACCTGTGATTCCCTCAGGAACACACAGCCAACTTTCACTTTTGATGTGTCAGTCATCTGTTTTTAGAAAAAAAACAGAATTTCATTTTCTAAAGCGGGATAATAATTATCATATTATCTCTCCTTTTCAAATATTTTGTGCTGCAGGTTTTCTCAACTAATTCATTCTAGTGTTTTGTTTAAAATATAATTTGATATACACAGAGTTTTCAAGAACACATAATGATAAAAAACGGTTCACTGTTACCTCTTTGCCAGCAGAGGGTGCTGGTCAGCCAGCCAGCTCTGGAGTCATTGCTACAGGCGGGTCTGAACCAGGCAGTGTTGTTTTCCAATAAAAATAATGCTTTTATCCCTCAGCCTCTCCCTCTCAAGTCTTCAAATAAAGTTAATGCCCAGGCAGTACCTTCTGGGTTACAAGTGCCCCAATTTGAGAATGAGCTTTAAGGTAAAAAAGTAGGCAGATTTCAACTCCACTTGGTCTCTGGTGATAGCTCTGAGAATGTACCTCTTTGATGCTTTGGCTATGTTGCACCCATGCATGCCCTGGACCCAGTCCTTCCATAGTAAATCCACCTTATTTCCTCACATACTTCAGTACTAATATTTTATTTGCCTTCCTGCCTTAACTATCTGTTTTAGTTTAGGCAAATCACTGTTTCTCGGGCTAAGTTAATTTCATTTAGGAGATATAAATTGCTGACCTACCCCAAAACAGGAGATTTGATCAGGGTAAACGTAGCCTTTGCATCGAGCTACAGCATCTGTGAATCCCTTCCTCCACTGGTGGGGATGCTGCCTCGCTTCCATACTGTGGTTTTGCTGCAGCACAAGCATCTGGCTTACCTGTGTGACCTGTCTCTGTCACTCTGCCATTCTTTTAGGCAGGGAGCACATAGAAAGCAAATTAGTTTGGTGCTCTGGGCATATTTTTTAATGTATAATGAATTCTCGTTTCCCAGACTGTTGAGCAGCAGGAGCACAGTTGTAGGGTGGTCTTTTTTTTTTTTTTTTTGGTCAAGCCAGGCTTACAGATACTGAAGTGGAGACATGCAATGTAAGTTCCTGTACCTAAGACTCTCTACTGGACCTGCAAAGTACTTATTGAGCTTCTACTATATACAAAACTCTGTGTTCTCTCTTTATTTATCTTTATGAATAAATGATACAAGGTTTGGAAAGTTGATTTGTCTACTATATTGGGGAAACAACAAGGAAGATGAGTTATAACTAGGAGTGATCATATATCCTGGTTTGCCCAAGAGTCCTGGTTTATAGCTTTTGTCCCAGTGTCCTATCTGATCCGCGTCCCCTTTCAAAAGTGTGCTAATGTATATGCTAAATTTTATGGTCACCCTCACTATAGGCAGGATGACCATATGTGCTGGTTTGCCTGGGATAGTCCTGGTTTATACTGTAACACTGGTTCGGATGATAAATTATATAGTCACTCTAGTGATGGATTATCTTACTTCATCAGCATTTTTCCTTTGGTTTACAAATAGTAGACAGAGGCTGCCTTGTGAAATGCTTCAATTTGGGAATAAAATTTAACACATAAAACATGTAGCAACAACAGAATCAAAGAGAAGAGCTGAAAATATAATAAATAAATTTAAAACACAGATTAACTATGAGGGCTCCTAGGCAGTTTAACCAGATTTGAGAGTTGGGATATAGTATTTCTGAGAACCAACATTAGAATCCAGACTGAGTTTAAATCTAGCAGACATTTACATTAAATCCGTGGCAGTGTGTTAGCTAAATGGTATTGATGAGTTTTGTAGTCTTTTGCTCAATAATTCCACTTCCTCAATTTTTTATTCAGGTTATTTTATGACTTGGATATTTAGATTTTCCATAAAATACATAAAGTACATTTGTTTTAGCACTTGTATTCTAAGTTGTATACTTTATTTGCTATCACCAGAGTTATTCAAGCAGTTTAGTTACCATCTATTATATACTTTCTTAACACACACGTACAACCCACTTCAGATCAACAGCCAATTTTATACTCAATATAAAACACTAAAGGAGCTTCCATTAAAGTGAGAAATAAGATAAGGATGTCAGTTGTCACCACTATAATGTCACATTGCTCTGAGAACACTAACCAATGTAATGTAATAACAAAAACATAAAATATATAGCTTTTGGAAATGAGATAAGATTGTCAATTATTTGCATGATATTATTGTTCTATAAAATCTAAGAGAATCACCTAAAGATTTATTTAAACTGATGAAATTCAGATAGGGACCTCTAGAGCACTACAAATTCCACGTACAAAATTTAATTGAATAATGGAAATATTCAATATTGTAAAGATATTGCCTTTCCCATTTATTTATTTATTGCACAAAAATGTAATCAGAATACCAATAGGGTTTTTTTTGAAACTTGAAAAAGTTACTAAAACAAGAAATTTTTTAAAAAAACAAGGAAAAAGGGACCTTGAACTGCCAATTATTACATCACAGTAGTTTTATCAGCACCACACTCTCCCGAGTGAGCCACGGGCCGGCCCACATCACAGTAGTTTTAGAGATACCATTTGACAAAGAAGAACCATGAACAAAGCTAGAAAAGAAATGGCAATTATTTGCCAAAATTAATAAATTTTATATCTACATTTACAGATTTTGCAAATAAAATGTTTAAAAAGATTAAAGAAAAAAATTTTTAGTGAGTGCCTGCCATGCACCCAGCTAGGTGCTAAGAACACAGCAGTGACAAGAACACAGCAGGGAACAAAACGGAAAAAGACAGTAGCCTCACCTTGTGGAGCTTACATTGCAGTGGACGTGAAAAAGCAAAGCGTTGCAAAAGAGGGGAGCAGTGACCCATATGATTATAAAAACATGGTTATCCTCCCTATTAATCACAGAAATTAAAAAATTTTAAATTAGGTCCCATTTTTTCACCTATTTGGTGAAGAGTTTTCAAGAATCAGCGTACTGGGTATTGTCAAACAGGGAATCAGTCCTTACTTATAGCTCGACAGAGTGAAATTAAGGAGGGCAGTTTTGCAAATATGTATGAAAAATTTTTAGACTGTGTTCATCCTTTGACCAAAAAATTCCATTTAGTGAAATTTGTCATAAGAGAATAATCAGATGGGGGAAAATCTATACATATAAATGTTCAACACCTCATTATAGCAAAAAAAAAATTGGGATGACCTAATTTTCTAATAGTGAAGAAGCGGTTACATGTGTTTTGATATATCCCTGCAATGGTACAGTATGCCTTCGGCCCATTAGAAAGCGTCCCGTAGGGCCGGCACGGTGGCGCACTGCTACAGTGCGCCGCTTGGGAGCGCAGCGGCGCTCCCGCCGAGGGTTCGGATCCCACATACAGACCGGCCGCTCATTGGCTGAGCGAGGTGCGGGCGCAACACCGAGGGTTGCGATCCCGTTGCCGGTCCCGGTCCGGTACGGGCACGACACTGAGGGTTGCGATCCATTGCCGGTCACGAAAAAAGACAAAAAGGAAAAAAAAAAAAAAAGAAAGTGTCCTGTAGAAGAGTAGTTAATGTCCTGAGGAAATGTTCACGAGATGACACTTGAAAAAATGAGGTAACATAGTAGGATGTTAAGTGTAATTAAAATTTATTTTGAATTTTCCCAATATTCTGAGTGCACATATATTACTTTTAAAATTAAAATTAATATAAAAAACTGTTAAAATGGTGTATTATTTCATAGTTCAACTTTATTGTGAGCTAAATAGGATTCCGTACATTGACTTAGAAGACAGATGTGTTCAGCCATCATATAAATTAATTTGTAAATTAACATACATTTTAATAAAGTTAGAAATTTATGCTTATTTCATGTATTGTTCAAGGCCCTGAAAATAAAACATACAATACATACACCAGTTTAATTGACCTGAACATCTTTCTCTTCCCTATATGCACCCTAAGGCTTTCCTGCCTGTAGGACTTAGCTCATGCTCCTTTTCTAACCTAGAATGTTCTAACCTTTTCCACTTTCCCTATTTCTGTCTTAATCTTTAAAATGTGAAATCCCAAGTATTCTTAACATCTCTCAGTTTCCTTCATCTGGGTGGAATCGCTTCTTTCCTTTGAATCCCCTTAGGATTTTATCTTTTTCCTGTTACGGTACTTGGTATTTACTACCTTATATATGTTTTTATAAGCATACTCTCACCAGATGATAAGTTTTTTAAGTGCATAATTCATATCTAATTCATCTTAATAGCTCCCTCAGGACCTAGCATTCTTTCAGTCACCACTTAAAAATATTTTACTGAGCATTTACAATGGTGCAGAGGATACAAAGATATAATGGCACAATCCTGCCCTCAAGAACATTAAAATCTGAAGCTTAAAATCTGCCAGTTAGTTCAGTTGGTGAGAGCATGGTGCTGATAACACCAAGCAAGGTCCGAGGTTTGATCCCTGTACTGGCCAGCCAACAACAAAAGAAGTTTAAAGTCTAATGAAGCAACAGATATTCAAAGTAACAGTTTCAAATGGTCATGTTGATTGGGTTAATGTTGATGCAAAGGGTACACAAGAGAAGTACCTCCAACATCTGTTGGCCCTGGGGAATTGGGAGGATTCTGCAGAGAAGGTGGCATTTGGGCTGAGACTTTGAAAAAGGGAAGGAGTTTGCCAGATGAACAACCTTGGAGAAATAAATGCAGAGACACTAGAAAGAGTGAGGCATGTTCAGGCACATCCTGTGTTAAATACCTATTTAGCAGCCCCAGCGGTCTCTAACCTACCCTACTTTTTACTCTTTAAGTTATAAAAGTGAAATGAGTCCTACAGGTGCAAGAAACAAGGGGTTCTTTGGGTAACCATTGAAATACCTGATTTCCTAACTGTGCCTTGAACAAAGATATTAAAACTCTGAACCTGTTCTTTTTTTCTTTAATTTCTCCAGTTATGTTAGGAGCAGCTAGTCCACCCCATGTTCCTTTTATTACTTATGTTCCCCATATTGTCCCATCCCATTTAGTTCACCAAAGCTTTGCCTTGGATAGGCATTTGATTCCAGATGACCAGGTGGTAATTTAAATAACTGTTTTGTCACTGAGTGCCCATCCAGCAGTATCCCAGCCGATGGTAGGCAGATCTTCCTGCCTTTAGACCCAATTAAATTAGATAGCCAATCCCAGATTCCCAAGGCCTTGAATTTGCTCCCCACATCCACTTCTGGTACTTTATTCTGTATTGGTCAGGATTCAACCACAGAATTTACTCCAGCTAGTTTAAGCAGAAAGGAATTTATTACAGGGTGTTCGTGTATAAAATTTCTGAGAGAACCATAGAAATAAGCTTAGTTGAGCACCTGTTAGATACCCTCTACTGTTCTACATGCTGGGGCTACAATAATGGACAAGATAAAGTCCTCGCCCTTGTGGAATTTACATGCTGGTGTATTCTAACAATAAAAGAGTTATAGGTCTTTGAAGAAAAGCACAGTGAGGAGTTAGAGAATGCCTAAGGAGGTGTATTAGTTAGGATTCTCCAGAGAAACGGAATCAATCGGATAGACGGAGATGTCTATAAGAGGAGATTGATTGTGGGAATTGGTTCGTGTGATTTTGGAGGCAGAGAAGTCCCACGGTCTGCCATCTGCAAGCTGGAGAACCAGGAAAGCCCACGGTCTAATTCAGTCCAAGTCTGAAGGCCCAAAAACTAGGGGATAGGGACCAGGGGCTGCTGGTTGAAGTTCCAGAGTCTGAAGGTTTGAAAAGCAGGAGCTCCAATGTCCAAGGGAGGGATGGATGTCCCAGCTCAAGGAGAGAGAGAGAGGATTCACCCTTCCTCTGCCTTTTTGTTCCATCTAGCCCTCAACAGATTGGATAATGCCTGCCCTCACCAATGTGGGCAGATCTCCTTTATTCAGTCTACTGCTTTAAATACTAAGTCTCTCCAGAAACACCCTCACAGACACACCCAGAAAGAATATTTTACCAGCTATCTGGGCATTGCTTAACCCAGTCAAATTGACACATAAAATTACCCGTTATGAAAGGGGAATAGAAGGAACAGTAATCACAAAGACTTGGAGGTGTCAGCAAGTCTGGCGTGTTCAGGGAATAGCAGAAACTAATGGCTGGTGTGGGGTGTCTGTGGGGATGAGCTGAGAGATAAGGTTGGGGGGCTTAATAGAGTGAAATCATTAAAAGCCAGGTAGGCCATGGTAACAAGGTTGGATTTTAATCTAGGATAACAAGGGTTTACCGAGAAGGACTCAGTTCTCAAGTTTTTCATATTAAGTTTTATAAGAAACTAAAACAAAGCTCATAGAGTTATAAGTCTCTGAAGAAAAGCACGATGAGCAGCTAGAGAATGTGAGAAGTCAGAAGTTAGAGAGGCTAAGAGAGCAGTCCCCAGCAGTGCAGTCTCTGTTCCCTGATCATGTCACTCTCATTCTGTCCATTCTGTCTTGAGATGGGATGTCGCATTTTTGCTTTAAGGGCTTCATTTATTACTTTTCATATTTGTTTTTACATTCACCCAAAGTATAATATCTGAACATTGAGTATCAATTGATTTCTACTGAAAGTTTTATTTCACTCCAAAAGGCTTTGAAAAATGCTGCCTGGGGCTGAATACTTTCATAATGCTCTAGCTTTGTGGACTGAACACTGCGTGAATCTGTATTCTCTTTGATAACTGTCTTCTCTTTATAAGATCAGTGGTATTTGTTTGTAGTTGTTATTTTGTATTAAAGTTGTTTTGCCTGTGATAGAACCTGCCTTCTTGGAATCTGAGCTAACTGAACAGAGCCATGACTCTTGCTGTGAGATGCCTTTGTATATATCTCTCTTTCACAGTAACAGCTCAAAACTTTCCTATGAAGTTGCTTCATGCCTGATTGCATAGTATTCACACTAATAATCAGGGTTCTCCCGTTTCTGAACCCTAGCCCTGCCTCGTTTCCCAGCTGCAGTACTTAATCTCCTGCACCTGTGGTCTCGTAGCTACCTTCACCCCCCACCACCACCAGCACCTAAATCTAAGTCACCAAATCTCACCTGGATTATTAAATTAGCCTCCTAATAATCTCCCTATATCTACTTTGCTGCAGAAATCCATTCTCCATATTATGTCATTTCTTTGCTTGATCCTTTTCAATGGCTTTGAATTTAGAGTAAAATGCAAATTCCTTACCAGGATCTAAAAGGCCCTTCATGGTTTGGCCCCTGCCAGCCTTCCCAGCGGCTTCACTCCTGCGTCAGCCATGCTGGCCTCCTGATGGTTTTCCCCGTGCACCCTGTTCCTTCTCCTCAGGGCTTTTTCTGTCTTTATACAGTGGTCTCAGCCCCAGCTACCGGCCTCATGTGATCTCAAACCTTCATCTCCTAACCCATGTGGGTGTTTATGGGATAGATTTCTCAATAAATGTATGGTATATTATTCCATTTTTATGCATAAGGAGAACTGAAGGCACAGAGATCTTAAACAGCTGGTATTTGAACCCTCGCAGTCTGTCTCATAGTGCTCAAAATGTCTATACTATCTTTTCTGACTCAAAAAAATTTAAACAATGTTTTCTCAAGTTTGGCTCTAGATAAAGGGAAGAAGATAAAATTATATCAGAATTCAGGAAATAGAAATAGACATTTCAAGTGGAAAGGGATTTAATACTGAGAATTAGGTGGTTTCACAATATTAAGAATTAGAGCTGGAGTCAAAGTGTTGCGACTGGACCACTGGTGTCGGGGGCACGCCACCATAATTGTGATCCGAGTTCAGGAACCTGCTCAGAGAAAAATACCTCCCTGCATTGGTAGCTGTTTCTCTGCATATACTTCAGTGTCATGTGGTCGCTCATATCTTGTAGCTAGTGCCATAACTGAGTCACACTAAGTCATCCCACTGTCCTGTTAAACCAGCCACATCTGCATAAGTCAGTTTTCAAAAAGTGACCTAAATATATGATTTAAATATTCAAATATGACAAAATATTAAATCTGAGTGATGGATATGCTTGAAGTATTACATAATTGTACATTTTTTAATTAAAAAATGCTTACAGTAGACATTTAGTAAAAGAAACCCTTGTATATCAGATTTTTTAAAATATGAAACAACCACCTCATCTCCATCAACAGTGTTGAAAGACAAACAACACACTGAGAAAAATATTTGCAGCATATGTAATAGACTCTGATATACATTGAGTCTGTATAAATCAATAAGAAAAGAGGAAACAGACAATCAAAAGAATTATTAAAGGCCTTGAAATGGAAATACACAAAAGAAGAAATATAGTACCCAATAATCATATGAAAACTGATAATCACTAAAAGTTAATTAAATGCAAATAACCAAAATGAAATATCTTTTTATTTTAACCACAGATTGGCAAACATAACATTGGCAAAACCAAATGCTGGCAAGACAATGAAAAGATAGGGACTTTTATGCACAGATGTTTGGTGGGAGTATAAATGGGTATAACCTTTCTCAAAGAGGGTGGTTTGGCAGTGTGTAAATGCGAACACATCATCATGGGACAGTGATGTGAGTGGTGGAAGGACGCCAATGGAAAAGTTAAAGGGAATGTAATTGCTATAATTTGTAGAGATGGTTGCATAAAGTAGAATACTCCCAGACAGAACACAAGTTTCCCAGACCCCCAGTTCCCCAGCGGAAAATGCACCTGTCCGGTATTGATACTTTCTAGTATTTCCTACGCAGAGTGGTGATTTTGCCAGGAACAAAAAGCACACAGCCTCCCATTCCTGTATGAACTTAATTGTCCCCGGCCTCCTCTTTGGCTGTAAACCTGCCTGCTAACCAGGTGCAAAGAATTATTACAAAATGACCCCAGCACATGCTTGAGTGTTTACCACCAACATGAACCAGATGAATTGAAGGTCCATCCTCCAAATATACCTTTTTTTTCCTGCAAAACTAGGTCTTAGGTCTACCTGAAGTTCATCCCTGCAAGATCAAAATTTAACGTGTGCCTACTATTGGGCCCAGAAATCCCACTTCTAGAACTGATCTTAAGAAGATAACTGCAATAAAATGGATGATTACGGATGCTTATTGAAGTGTTTTTAGAAATAAAAATTGGCTGAATTTAACTGCTCATCCATGAGGACTAAGTAAATTATGATACACCCATATAATGAGATCCTCTAAGCCACTAAAATGTATGTGTATATGTTAGTATTTGTGCCTCTATGCATTAAATGTTTCCAAAAGAGACGGGGGGTGGGGGGTTGGGTTGCAGAGGATAAATGGGGGGCTAGGCAGGTGTCAGAAAGAAGACTTCATGGATATTCTTTTATACTTTTTAAACTTTGAACCATATGAATGTATTTATTTAAGATTAAAGTTAAAAATTAAATGCAGAGAGAGAGAAACGGAGATGCCTGAAGAAACAGCCACCAGAAGTCACAGCAATTATTTGGGGTAGCAAGATTTGAGTCAACACTTTTTTTTTTTTTTTTTTTTTTTTTTTTT